TAGTCAAAATATGGGGTTCCACCGTCCACAGTCTACCCACTAATGAATGATGAGATAGTTTTAGGTCCTATTAAAGCACAATTCAGTGATTCACAGTACACTAATCACTTCATTTAGATCTTATTCCAAAATCAAATAGGTAAAGATTAGAATTTAAAAGAAATGAGTTTGGGTCGGAGAAACAATGAGGTTAGAGGGGTTGGAAAACCTGAAGCACCAAAGCTCAAATTCAGAGCTAGTAGAGTCACAGTAGGTATAAGGGAGAATAAGAACAGAGTGAGATCAAAGCTCCAAAGCTGCCCGTGTCCTCTTCATCACAATTTCCCAAGGTTTGGCGTCTTACTCTCTCATGGACCATTTTATTTTATAATTTTTACTTTCTTTCGCTGTTGTATTTTTAACTAATCACAGGGAACATTAGTTCTCGATAGGGCTGTGCAAAAAAATCCGATATCCGATATCTGATCCGGATCCGATCCGCTCCGATTCGAAAAAATCAGATATCCGAAAATTCGGATCGAATACGGATCGTTATTTTAAAAAATCCGAATATTCGGATCGGATACCGGATCGGGAATGTTAAAAATTCGGATATCCGAATCCGATCCGGATTTTACAAAACTATGTCGTTTTGAGTGTAACAACTAACAATAACCCTAAGTCTAACACAGTTAACTCAAATCAATTACTCAACTCTGTCTCTTTCACTCGTCTGAGTCTCTCTCGGCTCTCGCTGGAAGCCTGTCTCTCACTCTCAGTCTCTCTCGCTGGAACACGGCAACACGCACAGCACAGACCTCACACACTCTTTGTCTCTCTCACTCTCAGTCTCTCTCAGCTCTCGCTGCCTCGCTGGAACACGCAGTCACGCATAGTCGCACAGAGTAACAGACCTCACACACTCTCTGTCTCTCTCACTCAGTCACTCTCTCTCGCGCAACTCTCTCGGTCTCTCTCGCTCGAACACACACAGCGGCCAGTGTCTCTCGCTCAACTCTGTCAGATCTCAGTCTCTCTGACGATTGAAGCCCCAAATCGATCGTAAGTTAATTTCTTTAGAATTTAGAGTTGCTGAATTTTGTTCACGTCATATATCCCTAAGGCTACAATAAATATTGAATCTACAAATTTGACTACAATAAAACTTTNGAAATATATTTGAATATTTGCTTCCTCTTTCAATAATCCACGTTAGATATAATCATTCTATGTCCAAGAATGGAAGAAACTGTCGTCACTCTGTTGGAAACTATTTCAAATGCTTCCTTGTGTACATAAATATGTAATTTATTAGCTACTCTATTTTTCTAATGTCTAAATATTAAATCATATTTAAAGACATTATTTATCATGAAATATGTAATTTGTTTTAATGAATGTATGAGATAAAAGACAAATTAATAGTCAGCTCATTTTGCTAATCTTCAACCTCTATTATCCCCCACCCTATCTTTATACGTCATTGTGATGATACTATCTAGTCATTAACAAAAATAAAAAAAGTGCAAAGAAAGAGAGGAAAAAAAGGTGAAAATATTCCTATTTAATTCAATATTACTAGTTCTCTCAATGTACACAAGCGATCTTTATTAAAGCCAATCTCTAATCTTTCTCTCTCTGCGAGAACGAAGTCATCTTTCTGTGCTGCAATACCCCTCGTTCCACCACCTGGCTCGTTCCACAAAAGCAGTCAAAAAGTTACAGATTCTTGACGTAAGTGCTAAGGAAACTTCGGTCTTGACCAAGAAAAAAAAATAAATCAATCTAGGACATGTTTGTGTTTTATCAGGTTTTGACGTCTTCCCTTGTTGCTCCATTTTGTTGTCTTCCGCAGCCCTTTGGTTTGTCCAGGAGTTGGCGATAGGTTGTAATTTTTTCATTCTTTAAATATGTAATTACCGTGTTTACCGAAAAAAGTTATAAAAAAGAACCCAATAAAAAAGAATTTGTTACTTTAAGTGCCACGTAAGATACGATCACACCAGTTCTGTGACTAAAAGGGACTGGATGAGTGTTTATTGGAAGACTACTGAAGGAGTGCAGTCCAATAATCTAACCCCTCGAATTAATCACGTTGGACAAGAAGCTTTGGAACGAATAATAATACACTATATTACCCTCAGTAAAATAAGAGATGGGGACTACCACAAAAATGGTGGAGATTAAAGATGAATTTCGTAAAAGAATAAGACAAAGGCTTACATACAGTCATTCTTAAAAAGAACTTCTATGAATTCATTACATGGGTCCAGTTCGGGCACAAATCATTGGGTCCACTGTGTGGTCCTGAGCCAATTCTGGGCCTATTTAATTACAACTCACTAGTTACTTAATTCACATCTTAAACCAAAATCAAAGAGGTGAATATTAGAATCTAAAAGAAATGAGGTTGGCAGTGGCACAGAGAAAGAATGAGGCTAGGGAAGTTGGAAAATCTGAACGACTGTCACGCAGATTCAGAGTTGGTAGATTGATAATAGCTAGAAGGGAGAGTAAGATCAGGAGAGTGAGTATAAAGTCGCGAAGCTGCATGTGTTCTCTTGATCACAACCTGGCAAGGTTTAGCGTCTAATTACTCTCTCATGGGACATTGTCATCTTCTTTTTTTAATTTTTCACCTTCTTTAATTCTCAACTTCCTTTCTTTAATTAATTATTGGTCTCACTCTCATTATTCTTATTCACTTCCAGTACTTCTGAACGTTCTTCATTTTCTTTTAATTTTTATTTTATGCCTCCATCCGTGTGTTCAATTTTAACTTCAACAGTTTCCCTGTCGTTTTTAGCATGCCATGAAAGCACTCATTTGTTATGCACGTATTAACCTTGAAAAAGTGGTTTTTATTCCTCTCAACCTGTAACTTACATTTTCTTTCATGCATGCATATGATGCATCTCGTTTCTGCTTTTTATGATTATTATTTTGAGCCCAGGTCGAAAGCTCTGATCGTTAACTGATATGTTTCCTTTGAATTCATCCTTATGCATGTTTAAGGAGTCATTTTAAATAGTCTTTACTTGAACTTGATGGTGCACGTATTCGGATTTACTGGGGCTTTGCTTGGTGTTTTTAAAGTCAAAAGGATAAAAATATTTGGCTCCTTCCTCTCGTCCAAAACGTAATGCTAATATGTAGACTTCACTCTCGAGACTTTCGTCAACCAAAGGTTAATTACAAGTTCTCCCCTCGAAACCAAATAACTTTAACCCACCGGTTCCAAAAACCTGCACTTCTCGATCTCTCCAAAATATTTCCAAATAGTGATGCTCGATCTCACTCAAAAAACTGGGAACGTTGCAAATTTCTTCTACTGACTTAGAATCAATGATAAACAAAAAAAGAAAAACCATTCTTGTCTTATATGTCACTGAGTAATTACACATTTTCTCCTTAATGTTTAGAGAAAATGACATGCCGTTTATTATGGGTTCTATAAAAGTTGTTTTGTTTTTTGCTTCTTTTTAGAATGATTTGTTTAATCTGTGACCCTCATAAAATATAAGGTTATATTGTCGTACGGGTCCCATGTGTTTTGAGTGAGGTAGGTAAATTTGATTTTAAAAGTCGAATACGTTTGCCATTGATGAAAACATTGCAAAGCAATGAGTTTGATGACTTCCCTTATGAGATTTAAAAGGGCTAAAGCAAATGAGTCGTGAATATATATATTCAATTCCTTAACAAAAAGCTTAATCACTTTATTTTGCTTTGACAGTTTTCCAGGTGATCAACCATTAATTTCCTCTACCCGGCACCATCTAATATTCTTGTTTTTAATACCATTGCTGATTGGCCTTCTCCAAGTTTATTATCAGGGCAGAAAAAATCCATTTGATGCACACCGTTTAAATATGTGGGCATTTTTAGCATCTACTTGTATTTATTGTGTGGGACTTGCTAGTAACTTGGAATTACAAAATGGTACAAGTTACTCTAAAATCGTTAACAATGTTATTCTCAGCTCAGGTGCTCTTGCTTCTATTTCGCTAGCATCAGTTTTATTCCCACCTTTGATTGAATGGCTTTGCTTCTGCTTATGGATCATTTTGCCGGTTACGCTAGCTAGAGACTTTATCAAACATATTTATGAATGGCTCAAATATGGAACTATCAAAACCATTTCTGTGGCTAGTTTAAGATTCAATAGATTCTGGGGTTCTCTTACATTAACAAAGAAGCAACACTTGCCTATGTAAAACTTGTACTATAATAATTTGAGCGGTTGGAATCATGCTGAAGTCCTGCTTAAATCGTATTTAAAATCTTCTTTGGACAATTGTTGTTTTGTCCGATATTTGTTATAAACAAGCATGTATATGTTTGTGTCATGGCAAACAATTAATATGTAACTATATATGAGAATAACATGTTATATTTTATAATCAATATACGTTGGCTCTGTGTTGCGAAATTTGTAGACTTCTTGTATGCGAGGTGGCATTTTTCAATTGTAAAATTCAACACGTACGCATGAGACAAGTTGTCCTGAAAGTTACATGATGATCATGGCAAAAACGAGTACTGCAGGAAACTTCTTAATAACTTCACGCTCTTTATGTAGGAATTAATTAATAATAAGTGGACACCGAGTTTTCTCCTATCCTTATTCCCATGAATTCAAAGATTAGTTCAGGTGCGTGATTTGTTTGATCAAATCAATATCAATTAATTCAACTAATTTTTTCTCGAAAACTCTTTTTATCATATATTCTCATTATTGTGTTGACAGCAGTGAGGAATACTGATCAATATATACCATATAAGAATTAAGTGATGATCATCAAGTAGATACTCAGAATTTATATTAATATATTACAGAAATTTGATCAAATAAAAACACCCACCATTCAACATCTAAGTTACTCCCTGCGGAGTAGGATATATTACTGAGTAATTTGCAACTATTACATGTAGTCTAAAAACATATGTAAATAAAGTATATAATGGTTTCGCCTGGCACTTCTGGCTAGTTTATCGGACGTCACATCAGTGATATGTTTGATATATAATTTTGAATTTTATTAGAGAATGGGTATGGGTGAGTTCAGTTGAAATGACTGAATAATATCAGCGTCTGGCAAGCTTAGAGGAGGCAGAGAGTAATGACTGTAAGTAGAGCTTCCACTTCTCATCTCTTGCATGTTCAGTAATGCTGCAACAGTATTCCTAAATATACCTTCTCCTGTCACTCTGATTGCTTCTCTTCCTTCCTTTTTCCCTTCTTCTTCTTCAACTGGGAACACTGCATCTATCGTGTTTTCACATTCCTTTATGAGTTTCGAAACTAGATCAGTTGTAAAAAAAGGTTGCTTCAACACTTTCTGAATGAATGGCAAGCGTAATAATCCACCTGTTCGCTTTTCATATTTCTTCAAGATCTTAGCCAATCCTACAAATAAATTAATTGCAAGAATCCAGGTTCAATTGGTTTTTTAAAGTGTTAAAATAGACTAATATTTTCACTTGTGAATTGTAAGCGGGGTAAGAGCTGAGTCTGAATATGCTACCTGTGTAATTGATATTGCTGTAATTGACTAAGAGCACCATTTCCCCATGAAAATTCACAATTTCTTTCCTAGTTTTCCCCATCTCCTCTTTATAATCAGTCTCTGAAGGATGAGTTCCGTTAGGCCCCCAAGCATCAATCACACTCTGAATCCTGTGTTGCAATTCCTGGACACGTTTCTTTTTAGTTCATCCTTCTGATTCTTATGACGCGGGTGATTAAACATATTCTTCTCCAGAAAAATATAAAGAACAAGGGTACTTGGAATCAAGAAAATGATCCATTGGCTGGTGAATATAAAAAGTTCTAATTGGCAATTTGATTTCCTTGCTTCATGCCATGGATTAAAAATCTGGGTCTGGGTTTAATTGTAACGGTATATTCTATGCTTATGGACGGACATTGCAATTTAAAAATCGTATGAGTTGCAGAATAATATATAAAGAAATAAACATCTTCTCTTTGTCACAATACAGATCATCACTGTATTTTTCAAAATATATTTCCAACTATTTCGAATTATTCTTGAATTTATTGTATTTTATGAATTAAATAATCATCAAATCACGAATTTATTCTCACACACATAAAATTCTAGAAAATAAACAATATTAAAACCCAACTAACTAAGAACTATTATACCCTACGTGGCTCCTTTTTCACCGTCAAAATCACCAGGAAGATAAAATGCAGTGTCGCACCAAGAACCCACATCTAAGGGGCTCCAACTCACCAAACTTTCCGGCTATGATTTACTAGTATTACAGTTATTGACTTAAATATAATGAATATTGAGAAATTTGCATCAGAATACTACACAAAAAGATTTTAATCCATCATATTAAATCAATCAATATGTTACGTAATTTAACTTAATTTTAATTATATTAATTAATAAATAATTCGAGCAGGTAATGCTGGCCCGTGACAGGCTTTGTCGCTTCCGTTACCCAGACGCAACAATCTTTGATCGGTTTCAAAATTCTTAGGCAACTCTAAAGTCAACCAATTTCAGAGAAGCCAGAAAAAAACAAATATAAAAAAAACGACAAACTCATTACCTTATGCCTGATAATGAAATCCTCTTCTTGCTCCACGAAAAACGCATTCAACTTCTCGATCTCATTGTTTAACAAATACACAAACTCAGCCTCTACCTTCAAATATTCCAGCGATCCATTCAACAATGGCGGAGTCGAAGCTATCAATTTAAGAAGCTTCTTCAAATTCTTGTAAGACAGAAACTTATCGCGCCAATCCGGCAATGATTCTTGAATTTGCTGCTGTAATCGCTTACCAAACTTCATCAATCCAGACTGTTAATTATCACTCAAATCTTGAAAAAAGAAGAAAGAAAGAGTAAGGAAAGAGAAGAGTTAGAAGATGCATTTAATTAGGGGAAGATTAGTAGAATATTAGATAGCATATGCCTGGCGTGACGAAGTGACAGTAAGAAAAAGTATAAAAGAGTCGTCGATGTAAGAGAATTAATGAAGCATATTCGGTTTCTATAGTCATGCTTAAGACCATAGACTACGGAAGCTGACTTATATAGGTACTACCATACCCTTTATTTATTTAAAAAATGTTATGGATTGGCTTAGTATTACATGACTGTGATCTTTCTGCATACATCACGGCATCTATCGATTGGGTTTTGTGATGTGGGGTGAGTGAATGTTTGTGACAGTAGGGTAGGTTAAGTGGGAAATGGAGTTGAGGGAGAATGATTCTAAGGAATCTGCTTAGAATCTTCCAAAGATGGGAATATGTGAATCTTGAACTCGAAAATGCTCTCTACGCTGTGATTGTGGGCCACGTAATTCTTAGTTACAAGTAGAGACAGGCTTGATCGAGGCCACTTTTTTGTTTTTGTTTTCTTATTGTTATCCGGATTTTGTGTTGGAAGATTCTATGCCATCTTTGCTTTATACCCAAGCTAATGAGGAATTAAAAATTGATTAATTCCAATAGAAGCTATATTTGTCTCCTATCTTTCAAATTGGTGAACTATTATAATGTATCTATCCAATATAAGTGAAGCAAGAATGAGTAGGAAGAAGGAATTTTAAACTAGTTTTTGAAAGTGGGTTCTATCCAATATAAGTGAAGCAAGAATGAGCACAAAGAAGGAATTTGGTTGCTTGTATTTTCATTCAACATCACAAGTATATATACAAGTGTAAAAGATAAGAGATCAGATATTCAAAAACTAAATACAAATTCAAAAGAAGATCAAATACAAATTTTAAAACAAAGATCATTGACTACTTCTTATCTTGACTGATTCTCTATTGACTGCGTCTTCTCTAATATGCTCCCTCAAGCCCCTCAAGATGGAGCTCGACTAAAGAGACCAATCTTGGTGCGTAGAGAAAGAAACTGACACCTAGGGAGTTGTTTGGTAAAAGCATCTGCAAGTTGGTCGATACTAGAAACATGAGTCACACGTAGAGAGCCATTTTGAACTTGATCACGAATTAAGTGAAAATCAATAGCAATATGTTTCATTCATGAATGGAAAACTAGATTCGAGCATAGATGAGTGATCTCAACATTATCACAATAAATCATAGGACAATGAGGAATAACAATACCAAGTTCAGTCACAATCATAACACTTCTCAGTCCTAGCAAATCTTGCAAGTCTCAACAACATGGGTTGGCGCCCTCCAACCAACTCGGCAACACAAACTTAAATTGGTAGTGGTTGGAGGTAACACTAGCAACAATTAAAAAAAAAAAAAAAAAAAAAAAATAGCAAGAATGAGCTTTAAAGGATTGATGAGGCCTGTTGTGGACAAATGGGGTCGGGTTGAAGTTGTTGTGGACAAGTGCTAGTTGTTGCTAATGCTGGTGTGCTTGCTGGATATGACAAGCTGAAACTGGAAAATGAAAAAAACAAAAATGGTAGAACTGAGCAACGAGAAAAAATGCTCGGATACCATATAAGTGAAGCAAGAATGAGCAGGAAGAAGGAATTTGTTTGCTTGTATTTCATTCAACATTAAAAATATATATATGTGTAAAAGATAAGAGATGAGAGATTAAAAAACCAAATACAAATTCAAAAGAAGATCAAATACAAATTTTAAAACATAGATCATTGACTACTTCTTTTCTTGATTGATTCTCTATTGACTACACCTTCTCTAATATCCAATATAATCTGCAAACACATTAAAAAACCCATAATATTCACAATTATTCTACCAACACTTCCAATAAACTTACATCAATCATCCAATTAAGATTCGGGCTATTTTCTAAGAAATCATGATAAACAACATCGTCTGACTAGTCTAAAGACTCCAATATTCCTAAAACATATTCATGATCAGCAAATTCAGGAAGTCCACTTATTCTATCAACTGCAATCGGCTCCAAATCGCTCTGTGATTTCGACAGCCTGAAATTTTCCATCATAATCATGTTCATGCTGAATTCATCAACCAAATGATTCGACCGGAAGTCACAAGGATAGCATAGTGAAGTAGAGCAAGTTTCACTCAAGATCCGTATTGCATACTTCTGCAGTATAGGATAACGATCACCAAAACACTCCCACCATTTACCTACGTACACATAATTAAAAAATGATCAAACTGATTAATTAGAAAATGAAACGTATGTAAATTAAAAGTTGCATATATAATTACTAATGAGAATGGAGTTTATTTAACATTTCCACTGCTGTAGCTGTGAACAACTCTCAAACTTTGATGCGGTAGAGTCGCATTTGTTTTAAGAGAGCTTCTCGTTCTTCAGTAGGGACCAACGACATTAAAAGTTCCAAACCCTTCTTTATTTCATCGCCTTCTGTGAAGTTCTGGCTACCCATGTAAGCAGGGTTCAGAAAAGCTGCAGCTGCATGCATTGGAGTTATTATACGGTTTCGCCCAAATTTAAACTCTGCGCTTATTCCCTCATCGCCTTCACAATGCTGTTTAAATGCATTTTCGACTTTCTTCATTGCATCATAGAGATATCCTGAAGTTGAGACATTGCAATCTACGAGCTCAAGAACTTGAAAAATTGGCTGTAAAACTTGCAGCACCGTTTTCCCATTACTCCAAAATTCTGTAGAATGAATAGCTTTATACACAACATCAGCTTCAGCAAAGACATTTTGGTCATTAGGTAGCTGCAAGGCCTTTAATTCTTTTTCGATTTCCAGAACTGAACGTAGAACATAAAATTCAATGGCAAACTTGATCAAACTAGGACGAAGCCAATTTCTCGTATGATTTCTTCTTGGGATCAAATCAAAATCATGCTTGTGTAAACATTTGAAAATCAAGTTCGCCGTCTGAAGAGTCCTATGAATCAAAGGAATTTGTAGGTATGTTAATTCTAAAAGAGCCTCAACTTCATGACTAGCACATCTAGAAAGATGGATCCAAGGGTATCTACTAAGAATCATCTTCCTAACTGAACCGAAGAAGTCATCATCTAAATCATTAAAGCACTCCATCATCACATCTCCACTATCATCAATGCACTGAAATTCGAAAGTCAACGAGAGTCTTAAAAGCATGCTTTTGACTCTGCTTGTCATGGGAAAGATATTCTTAACTTATGATTTGTTTTTGTTTTTGTTTTTTTATTTATTTATTTAGAGTTTATGTTAAGAGTTTAAGTAGTTTTTTATTTTAATTTGGAGTTTAGTTTATTTAAGAAATTTATCTACTTTTTTTTATGGTTTTTTTGCTAATAGTTTGTTTAGAGATTCGACGTCTTTTTGTAGATTCAAGATTAGTTATTTATAGATTTAGATGTGTTTGTGTATTCAAATCACTACACTAGAATATGTCTAATGTTTATTCAAATTCTAGCTTGCTCTTGTTGTAGCAGTTTAGTAATTCTTAATATTATTAAATTCAAAAGTATAACATTTTATCCCTTTAAATGATAAAGAAATTGTATATGTATAAGTCCCATATTATTTTGACCTAATTATTTTTTTCTTATGAGGATAGTGAAAGAGAGAAAATTAACTTGCTCGATCTAGACTAGGCATTAATTTAAAATTGGATGTTCAGACCAATAAATGTAATTTGAGTTATGCTCGTATTTTCTTTTCCTAAATTATACGTCCAACCCCAGGGTTTCTTTATTAAGCTGATTAAAAAATACATGTGGCATAGGCCGTCACTTCCTAAGTTCGAAACGAAACAGAGTATTAAAAAAGCCCAAACGATTCCACCTACCTAGAGTTTGACATAAACACAGATTTGATTTCTATTTGCTATTAAATATTTTCTATTATATTCTGTTAGGGATTTCTATTTGCTAAAAGACAGTATAGTAATTTCATCTACAGTCACAAAATTTTTAAATTTTAAATCTTTTTTTTTATCCATTCTCACCCTAAGCCTGTTTGCATAGCCCTCTTGCGTCATTGATCGATTTTTTGATCGGATTTAGCATTTTTCTGCGAAGTTCAGTGATAAACAATGACACTGAACCTTGCTGGCGTGCGTTGGGAATGGAGATCAGTGGGTATTCTAGTATTTTCATCATTTTTGTCTTTTAACAGGTGGAAATTCTTAACAGAACATGATAGAAAATAGGTGTTTGTCATTTCTAAACTTTTTAGGTACCATTTTGTCTATACAACAAACTTTGGGTATGTGTAAATAGTTCACCCTGTTAAAAAACCTGAGTATTGAAAAACCTACCACCGGGCCCACTATCCCCTAATCCTCCTACCCCCGCCTCCCCCAACCCCACATGTTGCCCCCCTATAAAAACCACTACATCCATCCAGGAAGGAGAACGAGGAGAAGGACTAAGGCCAAGAGGAAACTCCGAAGAAAATGTCGAACAACCGTCCCACTGATTATGATGCTCAAAGCCCAGCAACCACCCCCCTCTCCCCCACCCCACCCCACCCCCCGCGGGCGCCATGTTGGTCGCCTATAAGAACCACTGCATCCATTCAGGAAGGAGAACGACTAAGGCCAAGAGGAAACTCTGGAAGAAATTGTCGAACAACCGTCCCACTTATGATGCTCAAAGGTCAGTGTAAATTTCTAGGCTTTCGATTTTGAATTCCCATTGCACTTAATACCTTATTGTAAGTTTGTAACACAAATTTGTTTTTCCTGGAGTAGTGAACGAGAGAGGATTAAATTTCTCCATCCAATATCATGCCGTCATAGTCTTTCTCGTTAACACATCATGCTCTCTCCTACAACTCAAAGTACCAGGCAAAAGATGCAACTCCATTTGACACACATTACGGGATCATGCTGACTTTCTTTGTGATTATGTGTTTATATGCTGTTGTATCAGTGACTGAAATAAAATTAGGAACTTACAATTCAAGCTACCATGTAATCGTCAGCAAAATCAGTGTCTTCCTAGGAGCTTTTGCATCAATTTTGCTACTGTTGATACTAGTCCCACCTTTTGGGTGGTTCAGTTTGGTCCATCACCAACCCGAACCACCGCTATTACCCACCATGATGCAGCGGCCCTGGCTTGCAAAAATGGTTATGTCTTGCAAATCGGAGGTGGAGTCTCGCCAATTTGGGTGGAGCTAGGGACAATGGTGGCGGCCTTGCGAATTCCGTGGTGGCAATTTAGTTTGAGGCGGAAGAGAAACTGGGTTTATATAAATATTTAATAAAATATTGAAGTGACAGAAATGCCCTTATCCTGTTAAAGCTTGATATACATTTCAGTTGAACATTATTTCTACTTCTAATTCATATAGCAAAATGGTTTGTTTTCTACAAACTAGAAATAGAAAGGAAATACCGACTTCGGTGAATATCCTTTGCGTCAGCTCACACTAGCCAATGCCAATCCCAAACTTTTTTTTCCCATTAAAAATTCTACCCCTCCTTACGCAACTTCAGGTACAAAACACAGTATCAACAGAGTCCAATCCTCCTCCATCTACTACGAAAATCATGCGGTCCATCTTTCTGACATCACTCCTGTAGACCCAAACAAAGAGGAGGCAAGAATATGAAAGATAATAAGTTAAATTCTAATAACAGTCTGCAATACAATACCTTTCATCAAAACACAAATTAAGGTAGCAACGACATAAGATGCGCCCAAGAAACATGCATTTTTTAGCACGTTTGGCTAGATCTTGTCTTCTGTCATTAAACCAAACAGGCACTGCAAAATACAGCTGCAGGCAAAGTGAAAAATATAAGCTGTTTTTACTACAAGAAATGATAAATATGCTATCTATTCTTGAGCCAACTTATAAGATCTTTAATTTTTTTTTTTTTTTTTTTTTTTTTTTTTTTTTTNATTTTACAGAATGCGAACACGATGACTGCGAACAACAGCGAGACGCATCCCTGGCATTTACACGGGCATGATTTCTGGGTGCTGGGGTTCGGAGATGGTCAATATGACATGGAAAATGATGATGCAAACTACAATTTGGAGAACCCGATAATGAAGAACACGGTGCCATTGCATCCGTACGGGTGGACGGCGTTGAGATTCCAGGCGAATAATCCTGGAATCTGGCTGTTTCTTTGCCACATTGAGGCGCATTACTTGCTGGGAATGTTGGTGATGTTTGAATCAGGATCCTGGATGGTCTCGGAGCCGCCTCAGGCGAACATGGGGTGTGGGAAAACCAAGAGCTTGATGAATCCATAGGTTAAAAAAATTTAATAAGTTTTATGTAATACATGATTTCAGAAGGAAAATGAAGTGGGCTTTGCTTCTGAATTAATTAATGTTTTGGTGGTTACATACACAATAATGTTGAGAAATTTTAATAATGAAAGGTGTAAAGGCAGGATTAATTGGTTGCTTATATGATTAAGTGGGATGGCTTTATTTTTTTTATTTTTTTATTTTTTATTTTTTTTAAATTAAGGACTAACATATATACCTTGCCATTTGTTAAGATTTATAAAAGTGACCATTTTTAAATTTCTAAACTCTGGAAAAGAAAAACCTAGAACTCCCTAAGACTTGTAGTGAATGAAAATCAATCAAATTTAAACAATTGAATTATTATTAGAAACTTCCTCAACAGAAGGGTTTCTAAAAAAAATTTTAAAGAGATTCTTATCAAAATCTAAGATAATGTCCTAATATCTCTTTGAGAATTTCTTAGAAAGTCATTAAAAAAAATTTAGAAATCTTATTATTATTATTTTTTTAATCAAACTGACATGTAATATTAATGAAAGTTTTAAAGGAGTTACTAAGTGATTAAAACTTATGCGGAATTAGTTGTTTGTTCATATTGTGCACAATAGTTATTCAAAGCATAAATAAAACATCCATCAAAACAAGAAAAGAACACACTCATTTTTACATAGTTCAGCAACATGCCTACTTCTATAGGACCAAGTCTAGAAGAAGCAAATCCACTATGTAAACTTATGAGTTCAAATACAAGGCAAGATAACCAAAGTTGCAAAAACACTCCCTGTTTTCTGCACGATAACTCTATCTTCTTTGTTGAACTTCAAGCCACCATAGCAAGCTTCACATAAGAGACCACCAGGTGGCACTTGAGCTCCTCTCAAGTTTCAACAACAAATGATCAACTTTGGAGCAGCAGCTTGCACACGTCCAAGCATCAACATGGAATCAAGTTCCAAAATCATCACAAATAACAAGTGAAGAGGGTAATTTTAAGCCTACCAAAGCATATGAGAAACCACAGACAAATACAAAAACCTCAGAGGATATTCAGTAATGAATCAGAGGCAATTAGGTTTATTGAGGAAGACACCAGAAAAGTATGAATATATAGAGAACAAGGTGACTAGGGTTGGGGGACAAAAAAGTTAAAGTAAAACTTTTGTGTTTTTCTTTTTGCACATGAAATTTGGGACCACAAACAAAAGTAATATTTCTTTTCACACAACGAATAGAAAGTGAACAAGTGGAAAGGCACAAAACAAAATATCAACAAGGAATAATATTATCCAAAAAGAAAAACAAATGCGTGATATATGATTGAGAAAAAAATATATGTTAGATGCATTATGAGCACATAGACTCTAAAGTGCTCACACTTGTAAAGGTGATCACCTTTAGAGAGTGTATCCATATTGGTAGAAAAGAAAAGATAATGCAGGACTCAAAACAAAATTATAAGATGACAAAAACACTAACAATTAAGTTTCTCAATAAATGGAAAGATCACGTTCATATGTTAGCTTGATAATGTTATTGTATCAGTAACATAGTTGTTGTGTCTGGTTTTTCCGCCAAGCTCGGGCCAATTCGAGGATATAGCTCGGCCCAGAATGACCTCGGCCACTATGATTGATCCATACAGCATAAGCTCGTCGAGCCGTCTAGTTGCGGACAATCTCAAGAATTATTCAATCAATCCCCAGATTACCTTAGATCCCGGATATCGCAGGAATGACTGGATCAACAGTTATCGTTGCGCGATCATAGCGCTCAATTGCAAGGATATCGGAATTGTGATTCAAATAATTTGTAATCCCCTTAATTTCGCTCTTTCCTTTATGTAAATCTTGTATATAAACCCCCTAAAACAATGAGGAGGGGGATACGAATTCTGGATTACAACTATATTGTAAGCTCTCA